GGGGAGGGAAGGTGAGGTGAGGCGAGATGAGGAGAGGAGGTTAGGTGAGGAGAGGGGAGGTGAGGTGAAGGGAGGGGAGAGGAGGGGAGGAGAGGAGAGGGGAGGGGAGGGGAGATGAGGAGAGGGGAGGGGAGATGAGCTGAGGTGAGGTGAGGTGAAGAAGTATGAGGTGAGGTGAGGTGAGGTGAGCTGAGGTGAGGTGAGCTGAGGTGAGGTGAGGTGAGGTGAGCTGAGGTGAGGTGAGCTGAGGTGAGGTGAAGTGAAGAGGGATGGGGTGAGCTGAGGTGAGGTGAGGTGAAGAGGGATGGGGTGAGGTGAGTGAGATGAGGTGAGGTGAGCTGAGGTGAGGTGAGGTGAGGTGAAGAGGGATGGGGTGAGCTGAGGTGAAGAGGGATGGGGTGAGGTGAGGTGAGCTGAGGTGAGGTGAGCTGAGGTGAGGTGAGGTGAGGTGAGCTGAGGTGAGGTGAGCTGAGGTGAGGTGAGGTGAAGAGGGATGGGGTGAGGTGAGGTGAGCTGAGGTGAGCTGGGGTGAGGTGAGGTGAAGAGGGATGGGGTGAGGTGAGTGAGATGAGGGGAGCCCTTATTAGATAGCATTAGGCTGCTATGGACTATCTGACAATGTATCTGAAAGATAAAGAGCCCAGGAGATGGCTCAGTGGTAGAGCACACGCCACACAAGCTTGAGGACCTGGGTTCAACCCTGAGAACCCTCATGAAAATGCTGGGCATGGAAGGGCGAGCACACAAGGCAACACTGAAGAGAGTGAGAACGACAACGTCAGGGGTGACAGGCTAGCCAGCAGAGCCTCACCGGCACACTTTAGGCCAATGAGAGAACCATTTCAAAGGAGGTTTTTGTTTTGTTTGGTTTGGTTTGGTTTGGTTTGTTGGGGTTTTTTTTGTGTGTTTTTGTTTGTTTTTTGTTTTGTTTTGTTGGTTTTTTTTCGAGACAGGGTTTCTCTGTGGCTTTGGAGGCTGACTCAAAGGAGGTAAAGGATGTGGACAGCATTCTAAAGATGAAACTGAAAACTGTCTTTCAGCCTGTACACACAACAACCAGAAAAACTCACACCGGTTGGAACAAGGTCTCCAGAACCTAAACAGAGGAACAGCAGTTGGAAGGCTAGTGAACTAGCCCAGGTGCCAACCACTGCCTACTGCAGGGGACACTGACTTGGAGTTTGTGTTAAAGCCTTTAAGAAATGTCTGAAGGGGGGGGGGGGGCTGGAGAGATGGCTCAGAGGTTAAGCGCACTGACCAGAGGTCCTGAGCTCAATTCCCAGCAACCATATGGTGGTTCACAACCATCTCTAATGAGATTTGGTGCTCTCTTCTGGCATGCATACCTACATGTCAGAGCACTGTATACATGATAAATAAAAAGAATCTTTAAAAAAAAAGTAGTAGTAGAAACATCTGAGGTACAGCTTGGTAGTAAAGAGCTAGTGGCTCAATGTCCTAGCTTGCTTTCTATTGCCATGATAAAACGCTGTGGCCAAGAGCAATGTGGGAAAGAAGGGTTTCCTTGGCTTCTATGTCACAATTAAAATCCATCATGATGCCAAGACAGGGAAGGAACCAGAGACAGGAACCTGAGGCGGAAGTGAAGCAGGATCCACAGAGGAGCAATGCTGACTGGCTTATTCTCATGGCTCACCTCAGCCTGCTTGCTTATACAACCCAGGATCACCTGTCCAGGGGTGGCACCACCCAAAATGGACCAGGCCCTCTCACGTCAATCATTAACCAAGAAAATGCCCCCACAGACTTGCCTATAGGCCAATATAAAGGAGGCACTCCTTCATTCAAGATGCAATTTAGGGGCTGGAGAGATGGCTCAGTGGTTAAGAGCACAGGCTACTCTTCCAGAGGACCTGAGTTCAATTCCCAGCCACCTTTAAAGTCACACAGGCACACATGCAAATAGAGTACTCGTATACATAAATAAATAAATCTTTAAAAAAATTAAAAAGAGGCAATTAAGATTCCTCTTCCCAGATAATTCCTGCTTATATCAAGTTGGGAAAACAAACAAACAAATAAAACCTACATCTAATAGCCCTAGGTTCCATCCCTGGGACTGCAAAAAAATATATATATACAAACAAACACATTTCAGACTGTACACTGAAACTCAGGAGGAGGAAGAAGAGAAGAAACTATACCATCTAGAGAAAAGAGCTCAGCCATGTTTGGTAGCTCATCTTAGTTCCAGCAGGTAGGATTAGGAGTCAAAACCTCCAGGTCTAGACCCAAAGCCAATGCCCTCCACATCTGTAACCCATGACAGCTCTCAGCCAGCTGCATCCTTCAACAACTTGTCACTGTCTTCAAACTCCAAATGAATGTGGCATGTGCAGTTGCCTGTCCTCTGTGCTAGAATGAAGACCCCAGGGCAGAGTTCTTGCATGGCGTCTGGCACACAGTCCATATCAAGTGTCTCTTGAATGAAGAAATGCATCGTTTGGTATGGCTCACTTACTAAAGCCCAAGCGTGTATAATGTGTGTTATCTTCCCTATTAGTTAGAAACATATCATTAAAAACCCATTCCTGCCGAACGATTTCACCCTCCTCATGATCCCAGAGTGAATTGAATCACCGATAATCACTCCGTGTGTCGCCCGGTCTATTTGTACATATCTGTTACTGACTATTTTTAAGCACGATCAGGAGTAAGTGTGATATGAATGACTTGGTATTCTGATTAATCAGCTCAGTAGGGGAAATTTCCATGGGTAATCAGACTGAACATCAAGATGGGGTGCATGCTGGGAGTGAATGGTGGGAGGGGAGAAAGAGAGAGAAAGATAAGAAACCCTCTGTAAACAGAAAGTCAGTCTGGACCTGCTGCAGGAGCCACCAAGTCATCACTTTGTTCTCAAGTTAGGCAGCCCTTCTGGTCCTTTCCCAGAACTGTTTCAACAAATTACCTTGGACTCTGTGACCCTTAGTGGAAATCCTGCCACAGTTCCAGAAGAAACAAAGTAGCAACAGAGCTATGCTCCCTGGGACAGCGGGAGGGGAAGAGTCGTCCTGCCTTCTCCAGCTTCTTGCAACTCCTGGCATCCCTTGGCTTGGGGCCGCTCTAATTTCTGCCTCTGTCTTCACATGATCGTGTTCTCTGTGTGTCTTAGATCTCCTTTTGCTTTTCATCGGATCTGTCAGGGGACACTGTAAACCCTGGGTGAGGTCATAGCAAGAGCCCAGCAACAATCTTACCTTTCCATGAAAGCCCTGTGAGCTGAGGTCCCGAGGGGAAAGCTGCACATGAATTAACATTCTCCAAGGCTCACTGGCTGATTAGAACAGCAATGACTGTAGAACGTTGGAATGATGCAGGTTCAGAGCCAAATTATCTCAGGCTTAGCTCCCTAAGTAGCAATTTATTGCTTGACTCTGTGTGTGGCCTAACATCCTTGTGACCATCGGGTAAATGCTTTTAGAGCCCCTAGAATCCACCAATCCAAAGGCTCAGGATGTCATCAGCCAGCGTTCTGAGGCCTATAGCAGGAACTTCACTTTGCTGTGAAGAGATGAAATAAATAGCTCGGCTAAGTGTAAACAGAAAATCCATGTTGGGGTCAGCAGCCTGGAGTCCAGACTTCACAGAAGGCTACTTAGAGAAACATTGGCCAACTGAAGAGATGCCGCACAGCCAGGAGACTGCTATGAGCATAGCAAGTTCAAACAGTGAAGTCATGGCCAGGCTTTGTTATGAGAATCCTTGGCTCCACCCTCCCAGAAAGGCCTTGCAAGCTGAATAGACCAGAGGAGAGGTGCAGAGCATGAGCAGGCCAGCACTAATCATATGCCCCAGGGCTTTTTCAAGCCTCACTTGCTCCTTGTAGTGGTTTGAAAGCAAATGGCCTCTAAAGGAAGTGGCACTTTTAGGAGGTGTGGCCTTGTTGGAGTAAGTGTGTCCCTGTGGAGGCGGGCTTTGGGATCTCATATATGCTCAAGCCATGCCCAGTGAGATAGTTCACTTCCTGTTGACTTTGGATCAAGATGTAGAAACCATATCTGCCTACACACCCCCATATTCCCAGCCGCCGTGCTCCCTGCCGTGATGATAATGGACTACACCTCTGAAACTGTAAGCTGCCACCTGGATTAAAGGAGTTGCCATGGTGGTGGTCTCTCTTCACAGCAATGGAAACATCAAGACTCAAAGTAGCCCAAAGCCCAGAGAGATGGCCATGCCTCCATCTTTCCTTCCTTCTTCTCTACTCTAGTATTGGGGGGGGGGGGGGGGGGGGGGCAGAGGAGGGATAGGAACACGCCATCATCTATGGCCGTCTTAGTTAGGAATTATATTTCTGGGAGGCAACATCAAAAACAATATGGGAAGGAAAGGGCTTGTTTTGTTTACATTTCCATGTCACAGTTCATTTCATTTTCAAAGGCAATCAGAGCAAGAACTCAAACTGGGCAGGGACTTAGAGCCAGGAGCTAACGAAGAGGCCATGGACAAGGACTGTTGGTTACTGGCTTTCCTGCCCCCAGGCATGAAAGACCCCCGGAGGCTCAGGCCCCCAGGATTTCGACCCAGGACCACAGAGACCCCAATCACCAGGCATAGGCAAAAGCTTGATGCAACCAGCAAGAGGCTTTATTGCAGTTGTTTAACGAGCTAGCCCCATTAGCTCAGGCCTTTCATCCACCCACCATGGCAGATAGCTGGGAAAGATCCTGAGAAGCCACAGGACAGAAATCGTATAGGGCATTGTAAGGGGAGTGTCCAGGGGTACACACAGGCTCAGGATTGGTGTGCCTCCAGGCTTGGAGGACTTGCCCTGATTGGTCAACTGGTTGTTATGGCCCATAGGCCCTCCCAGGGCAGTTGCTATGCTCTGCATGTCTTTGCTGTGCACTTGCCCATAAAGCACACCCAGAGTCGTAAAGCATAGCACCACCAGCTAACTTCTGATTGGTTCCTTGCCATGAGGCAGGCAGCTGACTTCCTAGTGACCAAGGCAAGGTCAGGCAAGCACATCTTAGGCAGTTATAGCTGCTGAAAGGGGCAGGCATTTGACCTCCTAGTGACCAAGGCAAGGTCAGGCAAGCACGTGTTAAGCTGTTATGGCTGCCGAAATGGGGAGCTGGTCCCTTCACTTTCTTCTATACCCCAAGACCATCGGCCTAGGGGTGTCCCAGTCCATTGTGGGACTCCTCATCAACTTCTAATTAAGGAAATGTCCCACAGGCTTGCCTGCGGACAGCCTGATCTTATAGAGATATTTTCTTAATTGAGATTCCATCCTCATTGACTGCAGCTTGTGTCAAACCGATGTAAAACTAGCCAGCATAATGACCTTGACCTTGCAGATAAAAGGAGCTGACCACTTCTGCTCTGGAGTGAGCATGTGACCAAGGGTCAGCCAGTCAACAGAGTTGACACCCCTAAGGTGGTGATTTGTTCAGGGATAAGTAGGATACACGATTCCATCTAAGTCAATGAGATTTGACCTGGAAGCTTTGGAAAATACTGAGAGAAAGCAGTTCTCTTCTGCTAGTGTTGTAGGCGGTAACAGCACCAGTGTGGGAGGCAAGAGAGGGTAGCAGGAAGCATGGCCTGGATGACTAACCTCAGAGCAGAGGAAGCCAAGCCCTGTTAATGCTGGGCCTGCTGGAACACCAACTGTGACCTTTCCAGAGGCCATTTCCTTGTACAGCATGAGCCCCTATCGCTATTCTCTCTTCACTTAAGCTGCTCTAAGTTCAGGATTCAACTCCAAAGTATCTTGATTCCAAAGACCTCATTGTAGGATGAGAAAATGGATGCCCGGAGTAGAAACAAAACTTTATCATGTAAACACGTGAAGTTCAATGAGTCCAATCCTCATGAAGAAACTAGCATCCGTGGATGAGACATGACTTGTTATGTGTAATCAGCACGCACACACACACACACACACACACACACACACACACACACACACACAGACACACACACACACACACACACACACACACAGCCTTTATTATAATACGGAGAAACTGTTTGTCATCAAACATTTCCCACGTCCTATTTACACGTGAGAGAATTATTCTCTGGGCTGGCACAGGGAAATGCTCTTCCCATAATGGAATCTTTCTCTGGCAGTGTGTTTTGCTATTAAAAGGCTCCACTTTACAATGTCGACGGTTCAATCTGTGATCTAAAAGGCACTTAAACGCCTTGAACAAGAGGCATAAAAGGCTTTTACTGAAAAAGGCTTGCTGGATCTACCCCTTCTGCCATCGATTCCCTTTCCCAGAAGACTGTTCTGGAAGTCAGCCACGCAGTAGCAAATCCCATGGTGGCACTAGATGGACAGTGGGGGGAGTGAGATGCATGTCAGTGGCCTGGGCTTTCTGGGGGGGGGGGGGCATTTGCAGACACCAAAAGGTTCTATACAGAGTTTAGCATAGCACTCTAGGTAAAGCTTGTGGAGCTTGGTCAGAACTTCCCCCACTACTCCCAGTGCTAAGTTTCAGTCTGTTCACCTTGTCTATAAGTTGGTTCAAAATACACCAGCTCCTAGGCTGGGGGCTCCTAGATGTGGCAGTGCACGCCTTTAATCCCAGCACTCGGGAGGCAGAGGCAGGTGGATCTCTGTGAGTTCAAGGCCAGCCTGATATTCAGAGCAAGTTCCAGGGCAGCCTGGGTTGTTACACAGAGAAACACTGTCTCAAAAACACCAAAACCAATGAAACTACAACAACAAACCCATCAGCTCCTAGTGTTCTCAGGAGGCATGAGTCAACAGTACCTGACCTGACACCCGGGGGTTCTTAGCACTCAGTGAATATCTATAGTTCCTTGTTTCTTGTTGACATTCTCCTTCGGGACTAAAGGGTTCCAGTCCCACTGAGAGCATTGACATAATACAAAGACCCACACTGAGTCAGGTGGCCATCGTTCCCCAGGCTTCCCTGGGGAGCTCATTCTAGTCTCTAACCGATGCTTCCTCCTTCAAAGGTACATTGGAATTCATCATGGAATTGACACTATCACTTGTGCTGTACGTGGACCGAAATACCTGACTCTGACTTCAATTCCACACGCCATCTCAGCACAGCCACTTGTCATGGAAGAGAGGAAGCCTCGAACCCCTTTGCTAGTAGCTGAGGGATGTGTGGTGCACTGCCTGGTCAGTAGGGCACATAGAAGGGGTATCTTCTGGAAGAGTCTATGACGTAGCAGCGAAATCAAAAGTGATGAGCCGACATCCCCGGGAGAATGCTCTGTGCACCAGTGGTCTTGCCAACAAGCACTGAAACGCATTGCATCCTCGTCTTCTGCAAAGCTTTAGAATGCCCATCTAAAACACCAGTTTTCGTTAACCTCAGACATCCTTAACACATTTCACCAAACAAGAACACCCCTCCTCAAGTAACATCCATTACCTTTGCACAGCCCCCAAGGGAAGGCAGAGCATATCTGAGGGAAATGGTACTAGAAGATTCCAGAAGCCCAAGCAGAAATTCTGAACTATTTCTTACCTCTGCTGTGCCTGGCGATGCTTCTTACACTTTGCAATGTGAAGCCATTGTTTAAGCCGCACTGCCCTCTGATCTTCACACATGTAAGCATGGAACAAGCATTAACTGAAGGTACTTCTCCATTCCCCTGCACCCTCCCAGGCGAGAAGGACCCTGCAAACACACAGCTCCTGGCTGAAAAGACTATCTAAAAGGGAAGACAGACATATGAACACACAAGAGTAAAAATCTTCTATGAGGCAAAGTACACTTGTGGAGCTGGGGTGAGGTACAGGGAAGCCTCCCGTGAAGTGGGTTCTAAGAAGCAATCAGAAGAGGAAACCCTTGGAGCTGTAAGGAAGCACCCCGCCCCCACCCCCGGCCACATGGAGAAGTGCATATGGAGAGAGCTGTCCAGAAAACCCACTCTCCTAACGGTCACAGTCCAATCCTCAGACACATCTTCGATAACTCAGTCCTAATGAACCCAGAACGAGAAGAACCAAGGAGTCAGCCGGCCACCAGAACCCTGGCAGTACAACCCCTGCAAAAATGGCCAGGCAGCCCCAGTTACTCAAATGGCCTTCATCAGGACCCAACCATTGTGAACCAGAGACAAGCTCTCCTCTGCACTGTTCCAATTCCTAGCCCAAAGAACTGCGGATATCATAAGATGGAGCTGTTGTTTGGTGCCACTCACACCTGGGGTGGTTTCTCACACAGCAGGAGACCGACAGAACCCTGGAGAAGCTTGGACAATAAATAATCTAATGGAAATGAGTTGTTTAGTGAATAACGGAAGAGCTACAGCTTGGGAAGAAAGGGTTCTGAGGTCCGAAGGTGGTGGTGGCCCCAACACAATGCGACACCTTAATGCCGCTGTACCCAACACTTTAAAACGACCGCTGTAATACACTGTGTGTCACAGGCATTTTACACAATGGTTTTTTTTTTTTCAATCCTGCGAAAACAGAGGCAGTTGTGCACATGAATTTCTCAGATGCACATTCCATATTTCATAGTATCTCATCAGCCTGTCCTCTGCCCCAGTACGTGTCACTTAATAGCCACTATTGTGACATTGTGGGGAGTGGCCCTGGAGAAAGTGTACAATATCCACAGGAAAGGTCTCACTAGCAGATGGGCACCGTTCATTGGAGAGAATCTAGCATGATTCCAGGTGCCATGCAGCAAGGCAGGACTGTGGGTCAGAGATTCTAGCACCCAGAGAGGCTTGGGAAAGGGGTCTCTTCCGCTGGATGGAGAAGGGGATTCAGGAGGGGATGAGAGAGCATCCTCATTGGGCCACTATATCCTCCTGAGCCTTACTCTGTGTTTGCACCTGTTTCCAGACCTTGGCTCTGAGCCATCCAGACTCTGTAACAGGGCACTTCGAGGCCCAGGGAGCTAACCTGCTAACTGTCCGTCAAGTCTAGAAGGAGCCTTGAACCTGACCCGAAGGTTTCCTACAGATTTCAGTGTCTCCCTCGGTTTGTGCAGAGGTCCTAAGCCCTATGGCTTATTTGCAGCTTGGGTCATTATATTAGTTTAGGGGAGGAGTTGGGAGGATCCTTCATCCATTGTGACTGATGTCCTCCTCAAAAGTGGGCATCTGAGTGTGCAAGGACACTGACGAGAAGGCCACCACATAAACACCAGTTCTCGTGTAACAAGCCAGGATGCTGTCAGAGGCCCGAAGAGAGGCCTGGAAGACATCCTTCCCTAACCTTCAGAGAGAGCTTGGCCTGGCATACACCCTGGTCTCAGACCTCCAGCCTCCAGACCCATGAGAGTGCATGTGTCCCTTGCTGGAGCGTCCCAGACCTAGGAAACCAATGCACACTTGCCCCTCCAGAGAAACTATTCCAGGAAGCATAGGCAGAAACTACCAGGCCACGCTCCTCCTACATCCCAGGCCCCTACTCAAGTCAAGTCAGACAGTTTCTCCTGTGTCCCAGGCTTCCTGAGGGAGAAACTCCCACCCCAGTTCCTCATCCATATACTGAAGTCCTTACCACCAGTGCTTTGGAATGTGACTGTGCTTGCTGATATAGTTACTTTTCTTGCTTCTGCAACAGAATGCTTTGCTCATGAAATGGAAATGGGAACAGTAGTAGCCCCACTCAGTCCACTCCTGGTGTCATGGGTCCCCAAGATGGGTTTCAGCACTTAGACAATTTTTGTAGACCACTGTGACCCCTACACACACACACACACACACACACACACACACACCTGCCTCCTTGCATTTGGGTATAATCTACTCAACAGGTCTGAACATCTGCAAACAATGCCAAGGGCCAGGCCTGGAATGACAGGGGTTCCATCATGGGCAGTGGCACCCGTTTGGGCGGGCGTTTGACCCAAGTAGACCCAATAAATCTCTTCACCTAAATATATTTAATGAAGATGCAGAGAAATAAGATAATGAAAAAGACAGCTGAGGTGGAGTGAGACTCACCCTGATAGACACACACTCATACAACTGTATACATAGGGTCCCCACATCCATTCTCTCTCTCTCTCTCTCTCTCTCTCTCTCTCTCTCTCTCTCTTTCTCTCTCATGCACATGGTTCAAATCAGTGAATTCACCTGTCAAATGAAGATCTTTCAGTCCCTCCAATGCTTGTCCATAGAAGAATCCTACAGATGCCTACCACCAGGTGCCTCTGTGGGGTGTTTTACACAGACACAATGGGAACTAAGTGAAATCTTGGCAAATTTTAAAGGAAACACAGCTAATTGCCACTGGCATTCTCTCTAGTTGCACAAGCAAAGCTCTGGGTCTAATGACATGCATTATTGTAATCGGCCTGCCAATCACATTGAAATATTTCATTTTTGACATAATTACAGTAGAATACCCACAACCCATCAATACTAGGATAAGGCAAGATTGATACTGTGTTTCCAAATGGGACCTGACAGATCCACCATAGCTTTTGTTCGGGAAGACAGACGGGAGGGGCCAGGTGTCCCCCACGCTTGGAGATGGGGAGAGAGACTGTCTGGAATGCTACTCCTGGGAGGCAGGGGACCAACCCCACAAGTGGAACCATAATGAGGCATTTTCAATTACCAAAGTCTCAGGTTATTCTTAGGGTGCCAGAAACCCAGAATGAAAGCCATAACCCAGGGCCTTTGTACTCCGTGGTACTGTGAGAAGGGGGTCTATTGTGAATGGTTCTTTCATGTTAATTTACCTCATTTTATTTGTTAGTGCCTTGCTGTAGATCCATTTTATACACACCCACTAGTCTCACAAGGAAGCATGCCAACGAGAAACTGCACAATTTGGACTTTCAACTTCTCCAGGAGGTGCATCCATGACCCCACCCCCACCTCTACCCCTAACCCCATCCCCACCAGTACTCCCAAAACCCACCCTTTCTCTCTTTCTTCCTAGGTAGAGTTCTGATAAAAAGCCTCATCGAAGGAGTAAGGGCCCCAGACAAATCCTCAAACAGCTTGTCTCTTTTGCAGGCAGAGTCCTTTCTGTGGTCCTCCTGGCCTACTTAGTAGGTTTAACATGGAAAGGACAGAGGAAGCCGGCTGTGAGATGTCTCCCCCAACCCCCCTTTTAGAATCTACTGAAGATGTAAAGTTGGGCAGGCTTGACCATGGAGGGGCTTGGTGTGGTGTTATAATTTATGATTTAATAAAGCTTTCCTGGGGGTTCAGAATGCAAAGCCAGCCACAAGCCATAGAGGTGGCCATACACAACTTTAATCCCAGGATTTGGGAGACAGAGACAGATGAATCTCTGTTAGTTCAAGGCCACACTGAGCTACACGAAACTGATCCAGTCTAAAAGAGAACCAGTTCATACAAAGGTGATTTCAGAACTTGGGATCCCACACCTTTAATCCCAACATGAGGGAAGTGGAGACAGGAGTGACAAGGCTGGACAGAGAGAGGAATGGAAGACAGGAGGAGACAGGAATCAGAGAATTGCAGTCAAGCCTGGTGGAGAGCAGTGCAGTCTGGATTGTCTCTGAGGATTTGTGGAGACAGGATCACCCCCTTTAGCTCTAAGGTAGAGGTGAGAGCTAGTGGCTGGCTGCTTTGCTTTTCTGATCTTCAGCCTGAACCCCAATATCAGTCTCTGGGTTTTTATTATTCCTGTTACAGCTCAGCTCAAAACCAAAACCCTGGGCAGAGAGTTTAGGATGGAAGAGAATGGGATTGGCTGAGATGAAGCATCCAGACCCAAAAGGGGGAGCAGACTACCCACTCCCTTCCACACAAAGGTCACTGGAAACTCCACAGGCCCACAGGGATGACATCATACGGGCAGCACAGAGCCAGGCTCATGGTATCTTCCAGAGCCCACAGAAATATTTACCTTTCTTTTAGTTCATAGAAAATACTTTTTAGACACAATATTAATGAATGTCTTTATACTAAAATGACCATTAAGCAAAAATTTATAACATTTAAAAATATTATGTGGCTTGAGGAGAGATCAGTTGGTACAGTTTGCTGCACAACATGAGGATCTGAGTTCAGATCCCCAGAACCTACATAAAAAGTTAGGCGTTGGTGCTCACTCTAAATCCCAGCACGAGAGAGGAAGGCCAGGCAGATGGGCGGATCTCACTGAATCAGCCCAGCCTGTCAGAGAGCTCCGGGTCTGGGAGACACCCTGCCTTAAATCGTGAAGCCAGACAGTGCCTGAGGAATGAACCCCAAGACTGACCTCTGGGCTCCACACATGTGCAAATATGTTTCACTGCACATACCTAAACACAATTATTATGTATTAACATATGTACAGCATGAGACGTACTATCATAAGCATTTCTAAATGCACAATTCAGTGATGTTGAATATACCAGTGTGGTTGGGCTCACTGGCTGAGAGCCGCCTGTCTCCACAGTCCACACTACCCAGTGCTGGGATGACAGACAGGCAAGCACCCTGCACCTTACTGAGACTGTTCCCATCAGCCCCGAGTTAGTCCCCTGTGGCCACTGTAGCAAATGAGGGCAAACTGGATTGCAGAGCAGCAGCAGTTCACCCTCCCACTGTGCTAGAGGCTGCAACTCTGAAGATGGTGCCACAAAGGCTCTGTGAAGAAACCGCTCTGACACTTATCACCGTTCTCGTAAGTGGCGTCCAGTTGTGGCTTTTGACTAAACCCTCTAGTGTTTGCTTCCACAGCTCCACAGCTCCCTTTTAATGTGTGTTGAGCCTCCCCTGCCTGTTAGGACCCCCTGACCAATCCAGAGCAATGAGCTTCCTGTTTAAGGGCGTTGATCACATCTGCTAAGACACTCCTGCCACACACACACACAGGCAGACAGAATACACATAAACACACATGCATACATACACTCACACTCACACACACATTCTCACACATTCTCTGTCGCACACACACACACACACTCTCACTCTCACACACACACTTTCTCTCATGCACACTCACACACACATACACACACACACACTCT